TTCGTCGCCCCCACCGCGACGTACATGTACCGTCCCAACATCCCATATTTAAAGGCACGGTCCGCGATCAGGTATAGAAGTTGAAAATATGGCATCGGGAGGGTAGTGTGGTCCGCGACGAACAACCTTGTACCGGTTTCGCGGCAAAAAATTGTAAGGGAGGGGCGCTATAGCGCAATATAGGTTCAGTGACGCCTCCTTTTTTCCAGTGACTCCGCCTCCAGACTCCGCCTTCAAGGCCCGCCTTTCAGTGAAAAACGAAGCTGCAGGACGAAAAAGCATGAAAATCGTCACTTGTACGGTCGTAGAGTTCTTATCGGGGAATCAGCTGTGCGGATGGGGCGTAGTGTTGGAGGGAGTTAACTGGGCACGTACAAACTGGGATCGAAATGGGGTTCTATTTAGGGCAGTTGGCATGTTTTTTCTGCTTTTTCTTCACTATCGAATTACTCAGCACCTTGTCGTCTATATGCAGACCCTAATCCACTATCTGTGATGGCGAATGATCGCGGACTTTGCCTTTAAACATCGAAGTCCGAAATAAAAAGGAGAAAATGTTCCGTATAACAGTTATGCGAAGATAGGAAGTAATCCAGCTGCGATTGAGTGAACTACTTCGTTGGCGAGCTTGTTCTCCATGTGAAGCTGTTGAGGGGCATATAAAGGCATTTAGATGTTCTTTCGGGAGATCTCCTGAGAAAAGCTAACTTTACTAACTGAATCTGACAAATCAAACTAGTAAACAGACATGGTAAGTGAGGGATGTAAGTGGTAATCTTCAACCATAGATGAGACGATTATGTACGTACTAAAATGCATTCGCGATTCTGGATAGGTTTTAAATGCGCGGCGCACCCCACAATAGCTCCACCAATGACGGACACTTTTGTACTCCTTTTCAGAAAGAAGAATTACGTAAATCAGTGAGTCCTACTCATTGAGACTGTCCAAGCCTGTCATTGCCGTCTTATGGAAGGATTCAATCGAGTTGCCAGATAGTCGAAGATATTCCAGTCGAGGTAGTAGACGAAATGCTCCCGACGGTAGAAAGTGTAGCTGGTTGTGATGGAGTGATAACCATCTGAAAAGAATGTTTGAGAAAGGATCACGATTGAGAGCTATAAATTTCTTCGGTAGTTACTGACCTCAACTCGGAGCACTGTTTCCATGCGTTTGCGTCGAACGAAGCGATATGGTTGTGGGAAAGATCTCTGGAAAGCGGATCAATTATATTGAAGGCACGGTCCGCGATCAGGTATCGAAGTTGAAAATATGGCGTCAGGAGGTTAGAGTGGTCCGCGACGAACAACCTTGTACCGGTTTCGCGGCAAAAAATTCTATGGGAGGGGCGCTGTAGCGCAATATAGGTTCAGTGGCTCCTCCTTTTTCCAGTGACTCCGCCTCCAGACTCCGCCCCTAATGACCGACTTCCAGTGAAAAATGAGATTGCAGGACGAAAAAGCATGATAATCGCCACTTGTACGATCGTAGAAATCTTATCGGTGAATCAGCCGTGCATATGAGGGCGTAGTTTTGAGATAGAGTTGATTGGGCACGTACAAACTGGGATCGAAATGGGGTTCTATCTAGGGCAGGTGGCATGTTTTTGTGCTTTTTTTTGTTCACAGTCGAGTTACTCAACCCCTTGTCGTCTATATGGAACCCCCTAATCCACCATCTGAGATGGCGAGTAATCGCGGGTTCTTCCTTTAAGGGGCTGCAGGTTAACTGATGTAGCTCAGTGACAAATTGCTTGGCAGGACTTCACACTTGCTTCACAGAGTCGACCTTCTTCAGAATTGCAGCGCATTCGGAAGCGTTTATAGAATGGCTTGCCAGGACCGTCAAAGTGCGGCACATTTGAGTTTATAAGCCAGATAAGCCTGGCTATTGCTCTGAGCTCGATGCGAAGTTTGCTTGACTTGGATGGGTTTTGACTCCCAGGATAGGCATGCGATAGTGGCGCCACCTACGACGGCTACATCGCCGCTGCCGAAAGGAATGGAGTACCAAAATCCATCCTCAGAACTTGCACGTTCAGTGACCAGTAGTTGGCAAATTGCTTACTCTAAGCCAAGATTCCCTGCAGATTGGCGTAGCGATGCGAATCAGGTAAAATTTCGGGCGTATCACATTATCGCTGATGAACAATCGACGAGTGGGAAAGAGGAAGTGGATCGTGTTTCGCGACTTCACCGTCTCCAGAAGGGAGAATGGAAGAGAGGATTTTGCAGCAGTTATTCACTGAAAAAAGATTAGACATAAGAAGAAATCCTCAATACGAGATATAGAATCACAGTCGTTTTCGCTGCAGACGCGGGGGCGTGTCAGAGGTAGGGTTTGGCGCGCCGCCAACCTGCTTTCCTTTAACTGTTGGAACTTCCACGCTTCAACACGTCTTAGCGGAAACAACTGTATGTACAAGGAGGTTAAATCGTCCTGAAGGAAAACTATTCAGGAGATATGTATGTGAAGTTTCGCCAGCTCAGTGCTTCCCGCTTGCCCTTTCCTATTAGTTTTCAGACTTTTCAGACTGGGGGAAAACTACATAGGAGCTACTGTAGGACATCAGAGAACCTCTAGGCAAACAAACCCGCTACTCACTTTAGCCTTCCAGGTCAGATACTCTTTGAACAATTCTCGAAGCTGATGAGTGAATGAACTGAGACTCACAGTTGGTGGAGACCAGTCAGTCCAAAGAGCCATTCATCAGCAATTGTACGGATGTGATTACGAGACAAGTTCAAAGCCATCAACGAGTCACATCCAAAAAATACTCCGTCGTCGAGCCTGAAACTCAGGTATTGGAGTGGTCATGAGCTTTGCTCTGACGCGTGTACAAAGAGAATTTGATAATGACTTGCTGCGAGTTCTGTTACCCAAACAAACTGTGAAAATAGTAGAATTAGGATTACAGTAGCAAAATTCCAAACTTCTTCTTGAACTAGAACGACTTCAGTAGCTTGCGAAGAAATGATGTGGCATCCAGCTCTAAGGAGGAGGAGATTGGTCCAATATATGGGTCCATACTACCCATCTGCGTCTTCGAGCCCTTCACCTCATGAGAGTGCCCGAGCGTCACTACCTTGGCTGAGTGCAGCACAGTCTCGCTATCGACCACCCCTTCCTCTTGTTCTCTCCCACCCTTTTAACAAGAATCGAAATTCGGAAGACGGTAATCGAGCTCTGACTGACTGAAGAATTACGTTTTCATTTCAGAAGGAACGTCGGTAAATGTGATTCTGCAAGCGGGCCAATTCCTGCTTTGGCTACTGCAGGAGCCAGGGTTCCAAAGAACAAGAGTATCAGCAGGTGCTCACCGGTAAATAAAAAGGCAAAATAGAGGTAAAAAGGTAATAAATTGGAAAAACGTGGCGTTTTGAACGGTTTTGACTCAAAACGCCACATTTTTCAATTTATTAACCAGCGTTGAAGGCAACACGAAATGTCAAGAGACATTGCGAGCACGAGCGAGAGGTCGGTAATGGAGGTGAGAAAGGAGAAAACTTTGCGGAAGCGAATTTCGGAAACCGGAATCCACGAGACATCATCGGTCGGTTACCTGGAGATTTCATTCCTTGCCAGCGACAAATTCATGAGTGATCGTAGATTGTGAAAAGCCAATGAGGGCAATGATCGGATGAGATTTTTTGATAGATCTCTGTAAAATCAAGTTGAAATGTCAAAAATTGTCAAGGAAGAAAGCGAGACTCCACATAATAGAAATTGATAAAGAGGACTCACATTGACTGCAGTGCCCCCATTCCTCGGAATGTGTGGCTCTCAACGGATTTGATCTTGTTCCGTGTGAGCCGTAAGGAATGAAGCGATGAAAGAGTGGAAAATATGCCCGAATGAAGTGTGGCGAAGAGATTCGAGGCAAGATCTCTGCAAATGAAAACTGTTACTGCCTAGTCAATATCTATGCAGCTCACTAGACGTATAGTAGAGGCGTGCAGTGAGCATACTCGCGTCTGCATTTTCTACCAATAGTGGCCGTCCCGAATAGAAAACAACCAGTGGTGGAAAAGGCCAAGTGAGAGCTCATTTTACCCTCCCGAACCGCCACACCGGATTGCGACGCGAGTACATGAGCTCGGTTACTCTAATCATGGAAGGTACAAGCCTGCGCTACGTCGCCTAGGCGCCGGTCATAGTTTGCGACCCTTTCAGGGATCGGGTTCGGCTTGCTACCAGCGGTCCAACGATTAGCGGTGAAGCACGGTCGGTAGCAGTCGCGCGACTTAATCGAGAAGCATGAACGCGGCCCCAACTAGACGCAAAGAAATCGGGAGTAAAACTCACAATTTCTCAATTTTCGATGTAGTATTAACCAGTTTTTCTTTCACTCGTGGCCATTCCTTTATGAAATTCCTCGAAAGATCCACAGAACGTATTTGTGAGAGCACCATGACGTCAGCCGGTGATAGCGATGATATCAGATTAAGCCGTCTACAATAACATTGCTTTATCTTGAGCTGTGGTAGGAAAACCAGGTAAACAAACAAGCAAACAAGTACAGGTCGAGTTTGTGGAGCGTCATTTCATCGAGACTTCCCGGTATGGAACGAAGGTGATTACGGCGCAAATTTCTGTAAAAGTGAAATTGAGTTGCTGAAAATTCCTCAATGATAACTGAGTTACTCATTGAGCTCAAAACATCTTGCCTTTTTCGAATAATTGTTCAGGAAATAGGTATGATTGGCACAGTTTATCGACGGGGGGGCATTTTGCTTTCCATAGATGATGTGTCGACCCATCTAGGTAGCGTTTTCTTGAGTTGACACGTTTTGGGATGGTGGCTAGACGATCCTGCTCCAGCTTTACAAGCGTTCACAAGTTTTACCAAAGTGAGATTTGCAAACCGGAGCAAGGGAAGCAGTGATAGTACAAAATGCCCCCCCCGTCGATACAGCGGCCGGTAATGATTTCCCACACCGCATTCCAACTTTTGAAGGGCGCGATTGCTGCAATAGCTGCGTGGGCGGAGACAGAAGCCTATTGAACCTTCTGCGCTCCTCCTGCTGAGGCGGTAAAGAGGAGAGAGCGCCGACGGTTCTCTGCTTCCACTCACACGATAACGCAGAATATGCATTTAAATGGTCTCACAAGAAGCCCTTACTTTCAGTAAATAGTAAACAATAAATAAATAAGCGAGTAAACAAATAATTACATAAATAAATAAACTAGTTAATCAATAAAAGGTGGGTTTTTCATCAAGCTATGAGCGCAACGAAAGAAAGCTGAAACATTTATGAACTCACAATGTGCGCAATTTCTTCAAACCTCGAAATGCATTGGAGTCAATATTTCGCAAGTTGTTCTTCGAAAGATCCCTAAAATCAGACAAATAAACTAAATAAAAATATAGATAAGCAAACAAATAATCAAGTAAATAAATAAATAAATAACAAATAAATAAATGAAAAACCATTGACTTCGGCAGGATGACCTAAAAAATCAGACTAGTAAATCGAAGTTGAAAGTGTCGAAATATTAGATATTCAGTCCACGCTATCTATAGTTTGCAGGGAATGCAACCGTACTATCAGTGCTTCCTGCATCCCCAGAAACTATCCCGTGTCTTGAATGACATTTACTTTGATCGACCATTTTGCCATTCACAAACTGCACAAACTACCATCGTGACTCCATTGAGACTCACAAGTGCACGAGATTTTCTCCTAGACCAGAAAGACTCTCACGGGGTAGAACTTCCAGAAGATTTCCTTGCAATTCCCTGCAATAAGTTCATCCTTGAAACATAAGCATTCTATATTGAAAGGCCATAACAAGTACAGATATTGCAGCAGGCGCACTACAGCTTGGGGAGGGTGGGGGGCATTATGCATTTCACTACCTCATATCGACAGGTTCATTACTTGACAAGAGTTGACAGGTGGTTTCTACGAAGTTTGAGTGGTACCATTTCCTGGCTTTTCAAGATTTCCCGAGTTCCACGTAATAGCTTTACACGTCGGTGAGAAGCAGCGGAGTGCAAAATGCCCCCTCTCCCCGCCCAAGCCGTACTGTGCCTTTCTACACATATTTTGTTAGCATGGAAACTCACAGGGTCCTCGTGGACGGTGGAATATCCGAAGGCACTTGAGTTAGCCCGCGTTGTGAGCAATCCACGCGTCCTTGAGCAGAACAGTCACAGACCGATGGACAGAGATGGCTTGTCGGGATCAAAGTGGCCATAAGCAGGACCACATGTAGCATCATGGCATTCTGAAATGCTGCAGAGCTGACTCGGAAAGAAAGCAAGAAAAGCACACTTTGCAAAGAAGGTCTAGCGATAGAAGCTCTTTGTCAATCCTCACGAACTGAAAACACAATTTGTACGAAAAAAGAGTGCTCGCCACGATTATCGATTTTCATGGAATCCAGACAATAGGCTACAAAGAAAGAAGGAAAGAGAAAAAAAGAAAACGAAGAAAAGTAAAGGGAAGCAGAAAAGGAAACAGGGGGAAACAAGAACTAGGTCATGCTACATGACTGATGATCTAGTTGTGAGCCGCGTGTGGAATAAGTCGCGAGACTCTTCATGCAATACTTAGGGCATCTCAATTCGTTTTCTTTCCATTTCATTTCCATCTGCAGTTTTTGTTCGCTGCGGATGAGGGGCGTGTCAGAGAGGCCTTTCCCGTCACATAGAATAAAAAAAAGGGAAAGACCAGAAAAAAGGGAAACTTTGTTCCGGGTGACGGGAGAGGATATAACCTGCTAGTACGGTGTTACGGTCACAAGCTCTCCGATCTGCAAATTTTGTAAAAGTAGGCGGAGCTTCTACAAAGTGGGCGGAGTTTCCATTAGTGGGCGGCTCCGCTTGTCACAACCTAAAAAGTGAAAATTCGGAAGAAAAATCAAAATTCCGCGAAAAACGAAAGTGGGCGTGGTCAGAGGGGCGGGGCCTAGTGTGCTAGTGTGTAAATGCATGGCTATATTCGTTTTGTGAAGACTGAATGTGAAAGAAAAAAAACGACGTCGAAAAAAAGTCATAAAAACTCTATTTACGCCACTCATTGGTGAAGTGGCTCGGTTCAGATCTGTATCGGTACCAATCCTTTTCAGTTCAGTGTGTGTGCAATAGCAAAAGTGAAAAAAAGTCGAAGAAGCAGAATTCATAAAACATTTGGAAAATCACGGCGAGCTAAGAAGTGGGGCGCGGGGTGTTGAGCGGCGGGCTTGCGCAGTAACCTGTGGGTCTAGTTCTTCAACTGCCACTGTTCAAGGGGTTGTGGTCCGATTTGGTTTGAAAGTATCGCGACTTGGTTTGAGTCGATTTGGCTTGAAAGTGTCCGAATTGGAAGGGTGTATATATCAGCGAGCCGTGTACGCTACGCGAGCGTTCCCCAGCTATGAGAGAAGGGTCTGTCTTTGGTTGCTGGAAAATAGGAGCGGCCTTTTTTGTCCTTAAGGACCCAAAAAGACAAGTTCTCTTATTTTCCGGCTCCCACGTGCGCCCTCCCTCTGTGACGGACTCGGCGAAAGTTGGTAAGGAAGTTGTGAAATACATAGAGGAAATTCGTAGAAAGAGGGGAAGGCGTGTTTAGCTGAAATTTCGCCCAACGGGAAGACATGCCCTGACCCTGTGCTCTGTCCTGTGCTATAACGAGTCGCCATAATTTATGCGTACGGATGAGGGAGGAACGCTTTTTTCCAGCAGGTGATTTACGGTCATCTAAAAGAGGCCAGCCCACAATTAGCCTAAACTCGCTGACAGACTCGCAATTAAGTTCAAGGAAGAAGCAACTAATAAGATTAATACTAGCATTATTGCTAGTTCTTTTTTCATTTTTAATGGCTGGATTATATTTTCAGAAGTACTATATTATCCGATTAGATGCGCACAACAAATGTGTCCAATTCTACCTGGAGATCCTACCCTTCGAAGCACTCTTTATAGGACCATTTTCTGGGTATAAGGTGCATTTAGGAGGTGATTTTAGTGTTTGTCGCGCCGCAGTCGCCAAGAAAGCTCACCAGCGTCCTTTTTTCGTCTTCCTAACATTCCAACCTTCTCAGTAGTTTTCTAACACTTCTTATTCGATAGAGAACATTCACATAGATAGAAGCATGGAAAAAACCATAAAAAGATTTGGTAAAGTTAGCGAATTAGGAGCCAAAGGGCGCGCGCCTTACAGTTAGCATCGACACAATCAGCCGAGGTGCTTTCAAGAGGTGTGTAAAGGGCCAACCTGCCAGCGTTGGTTACTTTCTTCCGTGATCGATCAAGATGATCCTTTTGGCATAGAGCAGGCAGCCGGACGGAGGGCTCTTTCTCTCCCCCCCCCCCCCTCGACTGTTTGTGGAATTTATCGACGATTGCCAGCGATGCGCCTCATCCCAAAAGGTATGATAAACTCTGAGAGCTGGAGCTGATGAGTCGCAATGCCGTAACCCGTGTGTTTCCTTTCCTGGCTTCAAGATGCATTCGCAATAGGCTGGCGTTCCTTGACACAGATGCACAGCTGATTAGTACTGGACCAGCTACAGCAACGAAGTGACCGCTATCATTGCGTCGCCTCCCTCTAATTTTGTTCCGCTACGACCAAAGCGGGCTCCCGCTTGGCCTTACCTACACGTCAAGCTTTCCCCAAACCTGGCCTTGGTCCATAAAGAAGCAGGTTATAGCACCATGCAGCCTTTTCAATCGATGTGCTTCAAGTAGATATAAATTGACCTATACGCCTTGCCCCTCGGGACAAGGACGAAAAAGTAATCAAATCAGCGAAATTTCAGAGGACCATATAGAGACCGCGCTCCTTCCAGCAAAAATACATACAATCTCCCTGTAGACTGCGCACAACGCTACCTTACCCTGCTCTAATCGGATTTTAACTTGCATTTCACAACGAGCCTAACCTGAATGGATATTCATTAACACGTTCCGGACCGTGTGACACACATGGTCTGTCATGCATTTTCCTCTCTGCATCGTTTCCTATGGCATCTTGTTCATGCTCCAAAACTATCAGAACAGGTTTTTGTGCGCAGAATACACATATCTCACAGGAATGTGGAAGAAACAGATGAATTTACTGGTTATTGATTTGAAAAGTAACGAAATGATGCTGAGATCCTCGCACAACAGCGGTCCGGGATGTGTTAATGAACTTTAATCAGAATTTTGCAAGCTTCATTTAGTTGAGTTGCTATCTGAGGAACAGTAGACCCCGCGGATGGGACGACAGCAGCACTAGCGAGAAGAAGCCTTAGCGAGCTTCGCTGTGGACTGCTTTGAACATGGAATCATTCATAGAAAAAAAGGCAAAATTATAAGAAAAATTTGTTAGAAAACTAATTGATTCTTCAAAAACATCAATAAATATGTAAATATTAATCAAACTGTTCAATTTGATAGCCATAAAGATTTCGAACCTAACTTATTATTTCACTTTTCGACTGGTCAGGCTTCACTTCACCAGACAGGCGTGTACAACATCTGTTATCAAGCGAATGCAGCTGACAGTTCAATAATATTTGTGGCCGACTTGAATCTTTCGGTTTACCGCCGAACCGCACCGCCACAAAGATTAATTTATGAGACTTGTAGGGACTAATGCAGAGATCTATAATTAGAAATGATTCCTTGAACCTCAAGTTGCACGAACGAATGGATCGATTACCTACTGCAATATTTCTATTTTCCGCTTATGTGATGGATCTTCCACAAATAGATAAGTTTCTGCAATGCGGTGGCAACCGCTGCTGAGTAGGCTTAATGCGCCACAACCAGCTTTAAATTCAGATTAAGGAAGGTGTTTGCCAGTCCAATGGTAGACTTCGAAGGCATCTGCCCTAGGGGCCGCGTATGGCCTGGGGGAGAACTTCTGCTGACTGCTGTCACGCCTCCAAAATTTTATTTTCCTCCTTGCGATTTGCAGAACCGATCGAAATTTCCCAAGATAAGTTGCCGTCGCGATTAGCGGTGCGGAACGAGGGGTGAAGGGAGGGGTACCCCAACCCTTCTGAGGCGCTGTTCGTCGACGGAGGCGGGCATTTTGCAGTTTTTGCTACTGCTCGTCGACGTTGTCAACCCTATTTAGGCCACGCCTCGGCCTCGAGTTGGGGGGACAGGCTTTACCATGATGGCTCGACGAACTTGTTTCAGCTTCACAAGAGTTTGCAGGTTTCACCACAGTGAGACTTGTTAACCAAAAACTAGTGAAGCAACGAAAGTGCAAAATGCCCCCCCCCCTCGGCATACTGCGCCCACCCTCGATAAACCATCAAAAACAGTAGATTTGCGCTGCCGCCAAACTAGGCAGGGGAACGGCAGAAACCCGCAATAGTAAAGAAAGGACCCTGGTCAAATACTAATCCCTTCCCCTCTAGCGACGGAACGAGACTCAGACAAATCTGTAGCCGACAGGCTTCTGACGGACAGGGGGAATTCAACGCGACCTGGATGTACATGAGATTTCCTTCAAAACGCTGCTAGCCCCCCCCCCCCCATTGAGTGTTCTGTGGACTGATATGCCCAAAAAGTTACCATTATTCCTTCACAGGGTACTAGTAGTAGTACCTTTCATAGTCGTCACAGTGCAGACAAAAGTCGTAAACAATTCAAAAACTAGTGGGACAACAACAAAATCCAGACTGTAACCCCTTTGACAGTAGGCGGCAGCGTTCAATGAGCGAAAAAAGCCGGAAATGTGGTGGCAGATGAGGATCGCAATGGGCGGAGAACCCGTTGTTGGCGATCCCATTAACGGACCTCACCGAAAAGAAAATGGCGCCATCGAGTCGGGAGATTCTTAAATGGGCACAGGCGCAGTTTGGTGTGGCGCCGGCTGTATTCGAAGCCTCCGAGGGCAAACGAGGAAATTATTGGTGAGGATTGGTGTAGGGTGGAAAGGAAGAGTATGAGAGAGAGCTACGGGAAATGAGAATACTATGTAACCTAAAGATTTACATTAAAATCACAGGATCTAAGATACTTGAATGGCATCAAAGGATAAAAGGGCGAAAGGCCGAAGATAGTCGCTGTTTTTGGGACACGTCTGACATCCGACATCCGACATCTATGAGGAATCCCTGAAGAACACGCGTACGTGTTTGGCCACTGCATCCAGGTGACCTTCAAAATATTGCGTGTAGTACCAATTAATTAAAGCCCTGGCAAAATGACATGTTCGCCAGGGCTTGACCCATTGAAAGGAGTCCTCCAAACCACGATAAAGCCTTCGACATTCTTTGGACGATTGTCATCCTAATTT